TTAGTATGTTCATTGATTTATAGAAATCCAAAGCGTCAATTGTTTTCTCGACCATTTCCCTGGGACCATAATCAAAATAAAATATAATCAGATTATAATGCGCCAGATCTGATGTTGGATTACATTCTATGCTTTTTCGGAAGTAGGCTTCACCCTCTGCGAATCTTCCCATTCGTAAATACTGCAGATGGAATTAAAAAAAAAAAAAAACAGGAAATTAGCTCGGAATTAGTTTTTGTGGTATCATATTGCATCTTACCAAAGTGCCCAAGTTGTACATAATTACTTCGTTGTTCGGATGCAAACTGGCTGCTTTGTGATAGGCTGCCTCCGCTTTCTCAAAATCTTGCGTCAATCCATAAGCTATGGCCAAATTCATCCAAGCACGTGCATAAGCCGGACTGGTAGTGAAAAAGATGTTTGAAGCAAATATTAAAAATGGATCGGAGAGCAAATCAAATTGCATAAAACTAAACTCACTCCAATTCGATTGTTCTTCGGAGAGTTGTGATGGCTTGATCATAATCGCCAAGAGCTCGATACGCATTGCCCATTGCCATCATTGCAAAAATATTAGCTGGATCTTTTTGGTGTGCAACCATACTAAATTCAAGCGCAGCGGGAAAATCTTGACTCAGATGGCTTATTTGAGCAAGATTAAAGTAAATCTTTGAATTATTCGGACAAATTCGCAGCGCTGATGTGAATAACGTTTTACTGTCTTGCCAATCCCAAGATCTTTCAATGGTTCGACCAGCAAAAATCAGCAATAGGACAAATATAGCCATTCTAATCGCTTTCGGATAAAGCTCGTGCCCCCGACTGTATGCAATTGCAATACAGATACAGTACCCTATTGAAGGAATGTACAAAATTCGATCAGCCAACACAAAGCCGACGGTAATGATATGTGAGGATGGTAAATATGAGATGATCGCCCATGCAACTGCTATCTGCACTTCTCTGTATAAACAGTTATGAAAATGAATGATAATCTTAGCGAATGACATCCATGCTAGATCTTACTTTACACCACTTTGATAGAGACCACCGCAAACATAGAATGCCAAAAACGTTGGTATTAATCGATAATCCGTCCATGATTCAATTAGATCGAGTGAGCCGTATGACCAATCGCAGCATAGCCACGATGGAAAAATCAGAAGCCATCCATTTAGCGCAGCAACGTAAAGTGACGACATAAACTACAGACAAAGAATGACAGTGTGTCCGCCCGTCAGGTCCGAAAGCCTTAGCAAATTCCCGGACGTCCGGTCCGATGTTCGTACAGTTTACATTGGATTTCGGACGTCCAGTCCGACTGTCCGAAAATGAGAACGGACTTTCGGATTTTTGCTCGGATTGTGATGGAACACATTTTCGATAAACGTCCGAATGTCCGTTCCCATTTTCGGACAGTCGGACCGGACGTCCGAAGGCCTTAGCAAATTCCCGGACGTCGGATCGGACGTCCGGGAATTTGCTAAGGCTTTCGGACCGGACAAAATTGGACAAATTTCTGTCCGTCTGTGTCCGGTTGACACCTTTAAATGACACTCAATTAATTCAACGACAAAGAAGTTCAGACTTCCAGTTAGGACGATTTTACTGCACTTTGACTTACTCTAACAAATAGATCCGGATGAGCAGCTGTTTAATTGCAAATTGGACAAAACATAAATAAATTATTCATTGCTGTTATAGGTTATTTAAGCGATTCCGCCAAACACAAACTTACCCAGTGGATTTTCACGAGGTGAAAAATTCGGCAAACTGAAAATTCCGTTTATTTTTAGTTGAATGTCGACAAGATGGTCTTCGATTAAAAAAATTGTAGAAAAAACTAGGGGGAGACACGGACTTTGGTATTGCTAATTTTTCATTTGAAGGACCTAATAAGTCCTAATTTTTCTTGGTTTTCTTAGTTTTTTAGTCTGTGTCCACACCCTAGAGAAAAAAGCAATGAATTTGGATGATAGAATGTTATTGAACCAACCTGAATAGTCCTGAATATCCACGAATTAGCATCAATGCGATTGTCATCACAATCAATATCAAAAAACGCGTTTGAAGCTTCGGATTTCTCTCCACCCACAATCGCCAATTGTACCAATTTCTCGCAACGTAACGTTGATTGCGCACACATTCTGGCGGTTTTGTGTTGTTCAAGACGTCGTACACAGCACAAAATGGCTGAAATTTTTTTTTTGAATCTTATTAGGAATAAATTGCTTGTAAATGTTTTGCATGAATCAAATGTGATTTAGAAAATCATACCAAAACTGTTATTCCAAGCTCTTTACTGAACAAAGCACAGGTAAATAAAGAAATGTATTTCACCGCGTGAATTGCGCCCGAATTTTTGTTTGCTGCAGCGGCTCCCGGTGCCAAGTTTCTTGGATGTTTTTTCTTTTTTTTCTGACCTGCACCATTTTTCTTTTCCTTTTCGTCGTATTCAACTCCATGTTCATCGTCTTCTGCCTCAGCTGAAGTAGAAATGGAGTCAATTTATTTTCAAATTGGGTTTTAGATCAAGAGCGACGACGAAATAGCGAATAAGATATATTCATACAGTTAGGTACCAACCTTCAAGTATATACAAATATTGAAGTACGGCCAGCAGATAAAAAAACGTGCATAAGATATCCGCACGACCAACCACGGAGAAAATAACTTCGACATGAATGGGATGAGCGGCGAAAAGTAGCGACGCATACACTGGCAACCAATAGCCTCTTACACCCTTTTCGAACATTTTCTTCAGTGTAAAATACAGCGTAATACTTGTACACCCGTGCAACACTGCGTTCACAATTTTCATTCGGGTCGCCAACATAAAAGATTTGCACCATTGCCGAAATTCATACGCATACATTAGACTAGATTAGTTACCAACGGCCGAAATGATTTGTGACTATTCGGATGATTAATATCCTGACCCCAAAAATCATGACTGAAAACTGATTGAATTGTTTCAAATGCCGATCGAGAGATGTTTGTTACGTCGGCATTTTGTTCAACGGCCACTTCATCATCGTATACAAATTCATGTTTGTAAACCAAATTCGGCGTAAAACATATTAAGCACGTCACGATAATCAGAAACACCTACGAATGTATCGAAAATTTAAAATATAACGATTTAGTTGACAAATACATATTCAAGAGAACAATCGACCTGAGGG